AAAATATAGTTGTGGGCCAAGTCCAACAAGAAGGCCCTATGATTGGAAAGTAAACCCTCTCAGGCCCACGATCCACGTCATTCTTCAATTCTGTACGTGTCAGATAATGATTCGTCCGCTGACATCACACACACACACACAAACAGTTCCAATAATGACCTCGAACCAAAGCTTCGATCTTTCGTTCATTCTAACAGGAATTATCCATACGGGTCTGCGTTAATCTCTCCAAAAAGGTCGCTTTGAAGTTTTTTTTCTAATTCAGTTTCAGTTTTCTTCATGTTCCCGTTCCTAATTTTGGATACTTGCAACATGTTTTTGAGCTTCTGTTTATGTATTCGTTTCGCTTTAGGCCTTTACTAAAAGCTTCGATGCTTGTCGTGTAGACGTGGTCGGAGGCTGTTAGGTAGCAGAACGAGAGCAATTTAAACATGGTGAGATTGTGGATTTTGATTATTAAATGGCGTGATTTGGGTTTTCTTTTTTCTGAGCTGCTTGAGGGATCAAGATTCATTGACCATTAGTGATATTATTAAATTCAGATGTTTTATATTTTTTCAGTCGGCGCTCTTCAATTTCCACTCATTCTTGACTGTGGTGTTGTTGGGCATATGTGCCTGCACATACGTTAAGATGCATTTTCCAGCACTTTTGGAACAAAGGACGGGGTAAGTTTTTGTTTTGTCTTTTCTGGGCTAACGATTAGTGTTTTGATAATTTAATTGACAGCAATTTTCTGAACCATTTAGATTGAAATTAGTTGAACGAATTACCGCCATATGGCTTTGATCGATTGCTCTGATTTGGATGATTTGTGCTTTGTGTAACTGTCAACCTAAAAAAAAAAAAAATTGCTTGCTAGTTTTCCTTTGGTGACGATTAAGTTATGGCGGAATTCAGCTTATTTTTGTTCGTGGAGTTGAGTAAGCATTCAGGTCAAGTGGGTAGATGATAGACTATCAGAAGCCTAGTCGAAAATACTTGGATTGTTTTGCTTGCTGAAAGCTGCTCAAGTAACAAACTTTATAGTCCTTTGGTAAAGTTTGTGTTTTGGTGCGTCTTTAAATCACTTCCTGAGGTGATTCTTGATTCTGTCTGGTTGCTTGGCTGTATAAGATTTCATTTATCGTCTTATAATATGAATTATTAAGATAATTAAACAGTTAGTGAGGGCTAGAACTGTGTTTTCAACAACTTCTTGCCTTTATCGGAGTAGACAGTGACACTTCTTCGAGATTTTTCGCATTTTTTCATCAAAATTAATGTATAGGTAAAAAGTTGACTCGTGTAATATATGGAGTAGTTGATGCATATTTTCTTCTCCGCATTTACAAGCAGTTACATTGCCTTTACTGTTCTGTTGAACAAATTAATTGACCTATTGCTGATGGTTAACCTAAGGAAAACAGCCTCATAGCTCTACAGAATCTGATAAATAAAGACTTCACGAAGAAAATTATGTTTTCAATGCTTTTCCAATAAAAATACTCCATTCTCTCATTTTCTGTATGTTACGTACTTCATCTTGAGTGAGGACAATATTCTCTAAGATTTTTGTTTTTAGCATGTTTATTCGCTCTGGACTTAATTCAAGATTGGCTACTAGAAACAAACTTGGTTTAATGTAATCACTAGGTTCATTAAAAATCCCAGATCAAACTTGACAATTTAACAACTAGATTTAGTTTTGCTCTTCGATGGCTCTATCGAGACCACTGATAATTATTTGTGTAAGTAGTTGTAATCGCTGTGTGTTATACTCATTTTTTTAAAACGCGCATCGCGCAATGCCTCGCATTTTGGTCCTTATATTGCGTGCGTATGTAGCGTGTGGCGTAGGCTATTTGAGCATGCGAATTTTTATTTTTATAAAAAGATTACATACATTTTTATACAACAAAAATAAGAGTTTATTATTATTATATTATATATTAAATCCAAACAAATAACATGATTCTAAGAAGTATATATTATACTCTCACGAAGAGTTTTTTTTTTTTTAATTTTTCACAAACACGAGTCAAAGACAATAGAAAATGACATTTTTTTTAATTTGGTATTTTATGATTTTAGCATGAAAATAGCATAAAAAAAACGCAAAATAGCGTGCCACGTCAGCATTTTGCGTAAGTATTTCGGCTAAAACGCAAAATTATAAACGCTTCATCGCGCTTTTGAGCAAAATTGCGCTATTGCACGCTATATGACGCTATTTAAAACATTGGTTATACTTTATCTGATAAACACACTATTCTCTGCTGTTGCTAAAAGTTGATGTTATCACTATTGTTCAGTCTTGAAGTTAATCGTTGATCGTGTGATTTTTTCGACATTCATTTTCTTCTCTTCCTAAACTTTTATACGTGTATTGATGAAGTTCTTTATTTGGCAGGTTTCGAGGTGTATTCTGGAAGGCTGCTAGAATAGGTACCACCGATCCACTTGCTCGCATGCAATTAGAGCTGCACTACTTAGTTTTTTTCAGAATATATTTCCCATAACTTTGACTGTTACAAATCTTTAAAACATACCATGTGTTCTTAGTACTTACTGAATACTGAAGTTAGTCGGTTTATTTTCTCTTTTTATATAATTTCTTTTCTCTTTGTGTAACAGGAGAAAGACTTAGCCCTTGGGTGGCTATCGGTTGCTTCGCGATGGGGATTTCAATAATCTTCTTTTGAACAGGATTACCTACAATTGTATTAGGTTCGTACAAAAACTACGCACACTATAATGAAGTTGAAAGTTAATCCAAATTATTTAAAATCAACAGTGCCATATGGTAAAGTTGCACCGAGCTTCCGCATTTTCCCTGACCAGAGTTTGACTATACAATGCCTCCAAAAAGCCTATTCAACTTAAAAAAAAAAAAAATATATATATATATATATACAAGTTCATACATTTAGTCGAGTCTGGCTCGGCTCGAGCTTGAGGCCTTAACGAGCCGAGCTCGGCTCAGATCGATAAGGCTTGAAAAGATATTTTTAAATCATTTTCTATTATTCGGCTTGTTAAGGCTCGAACTTGGCTCGTTAATAGTGATGAACAAGCAACGAGTCGAGCTCGACTCGGCTTATAGGCCTAGTCTCTTCGAAGTCGTTTAATCTATTCTCTTATGGCGATGATTGGTATAATGGAATAAAATTTGGTAGGAATGAAATGAGTTGAAGAATTGAATAATTATGAGAAATGAATGAAACAAGTTTTGTCATTTATGCGTTTAGTATGCAGAAGGAATAAGACCTGAATGTTTTTATAGAAAATAATGATTTATTATCAGATAATAAATAATGATTTATAAAACAAGTTTTGTCATACGATAAAAAAAAAATTAATATAAATATTATTTTTTCTATAAATAATGATTTATTATCTGATAATAAATAATTATTTATAGAAAAAATAATATTTATATTAATTTTTTTTATTTAGGATAATAATAAAATTATTTTATTTCTTAAAAAATATAATATATTTTAATAAATAAATTTCTGTATTATTACGCTCATATATATTATAATAAATTATTGATATACATATTAACTAATACAAATATATCATTACATAAACCCCTATAAGTATATGTTGCCGAATATAATTTTTTATATTATAATTCAATTTATGAATAAATATGATGTATAAAAATAAAATAATATATTTCTAAATTATATATAAATGCTTTTTTTTTTAGTTTTATTTTTATATAAGTATTTAATATATATAATTAAACAATAAA